GGGTAACTGTCATGCTTCATTCATGAAGCCACAAGCAGGCCCAGTTTCTTCAGCCCTTGCTGCAGTAGGAAGTGATCTAAAGGCCCGTGGCTCCCCCTCCAAGGCTCTCTGTGCTTCTTGGGATTGATCCTAAATCTTAGCTCGCTCACTTATGCTTAATGTGTGGACCGTGGTGGGGCAACCACCAGGAAAGTACCGTAACTGTCAGAGCTCCTCCTCTTTAGCATTTTAAGGATAGTGTGAAACATTAATATGCCAGGATATATTGGTTGTTTGGGGCCAATTTATCTTTCAGAGGGTGCAGAGGATGATGATGATGATGATTAAATGAGGCTCCAGAGAGCTCAAATTAACCTGAAGCCGAAGAGCTGTGTGGCTCTCCAAGCAACAGCAGTTCTCAGATGGGGTTTTAGCTGTGACTACAACTGTGCCAGCCCCACTTTTACCGGCTCACAATATCGAATGTTGATTGGGCTGCAGTCAGCTTTCAGCCATCAGGGGAACTTGTGTTGGGACACATGGCTCTGGGATCCAGTTGTTCTCAGGGTGTGGGTGTGCAATGTGTTTCTCCACATGGTTTCCCTAATTGCTGCCCACTGACTTCTGCAGGACAGTGGGTTGGTGGCTGCATCCGAAGGACTGGGCGAGTGACGCATGGCTTGTTTTGCCGTCTTTCTCCATACTTATCCCATGAGCATTTCTGCGGCGTTTCCAAATGGGTATTCTTACATAAGGGCTTTGGGAGGTTGCTCCGCAAACCTGGGATGCATTTGAGAGGCGGCAGCACAAAGTTAACAAGCACACTATTGTTCATCTTTGCCGTTTAATAGCAGAGCAGAGCCACAAGCGCCACATGTGATTCCTGTGTTTTTAATTTGGCAATGTTTCCTTGATTTTGCACAGAACAGCAGAAGGCCAGATTTACAAGAAGAAGATGACACACTTCTTCCCCCTTGAGTTGGCACTGTGGAAATACTCTATAACTCCTAGCATGGGACAGGCTGGTTGCCTTGAAAGATATGTGAAATGGGAGGAGGCAAGACTTACAGGAAGCAGCCTGTCTTCCAATAGGTGTACAACCCCTTCATACTCAAACCGGCAGAGGATTGTGAAAGCCACGCCCAAAGTTCCTGTTCTGTGTCATTTTTGCTCCTACATGTGTAGAGAAATGTGGTTTGTTCTGCAAGCACGTCTTGCCCTGCCCCTCGGTTGTTTGCGTCATCACTGAGATGGGGTGGCAGCAGCTGTGCATTTGGAATTTTTGCATTGTATTGCGTAGAGAAAGTAGAGGAAAGTTTTTCTCCCTCTCATAACAGTAGCATCTGACTAGCCCCTCCAGCTTTCTTAGGTAGTTAAGCAGAAGAATTTGTTTATTGCATTTATAGCCCTCCTTTTTCTCCAAGGAGTACATGGTTCACCCCTCCTCATTTAATCCCTACAACACCCCAGTGAGGTAGATTAAGAGGCTGTAACTGGCCCAGGGCCACTCAGTGAGTTTCATGACTGAGTGGGGATTTGAACCCTGATCTCCCAGGTCCTAGTCTGACACTCTAACCACTACTCCACACTGGCTTCCTGGAGTACCTCTGCTATGGGGCAGCTATATGAATTAAGTAAATAAATAAATATCGGAAAAGCAAAATGTAACTCAGAGAAGGATCTGAAATATTTTCCTTGAAGCTTGAATTTGTTTTATTCTGGATTGCTTTGTTGGTGTTTCAATGTGTTGTGAACCACTTTGAGATTCTTTCTTGAAAAATAAAGCAGTATAGAAATGAAATGAATAAAAATAGCAATAATAAATATCACTGGGGGGGGGGGAAATGGTGCCTTGAGATTCCTAGGTTTAAGGTGCTATTTGGCAACTAGATTATATATCTGAGTTTCTAACACTGCTTATGTTCTTATGGAAGCCTCAGGTGCTGGCGGGCTGCTCTTCCAGCTCACACCAGTGTGATGCCCTCTCATTGCTTCAACTTGTGTGCTATGACACACACTTGTGGCCGAGAAGGCTCTCTGAGAGGCAGCCATTGCACAGGCTGCACCTGTTCGAATTCCTTCCTTGGGAGAGGGAGACTTTCCGCTCCCTGGGTGTCAGTTGACCATTCATGTCTCCCTTTCCCTCCTGCGCAGGGCAGCTTTTTCTAAGCCTTGCCTTGTGTTTGCTTAACCTGGCAGGCTCCGGGGTTTTTCTGCATTCAATAATTTCCTCCTTGGAAGTTGCCCAGACTAAGCCGCAGCAAGGACAGAGTTTCCCCTTTCATTGACATATATTGTGTCTCTGTGGAGTTGCAGCATATGGAATTTGAGATCCGGATGACCTCAACCTCTAGCTTTAGCTTTGAGCTCTTTCAGCGGTGGGGATCTTTTCTGTAAAACTAAACATTGCTACCTCGTGTCATGAGGGAGGAATTCAGAAGCCGAGGCCTGGGCAAGATCTGGCATTCCTTGACCCGCCTTCCCCATGAGTCCTGCTTTCTGGACTCTTGCCTCGTAGCCCTCCAACTTCCATGCTCTTGCCCTCATCTTCTGCCCTGACTCGTGATCCCCAATGGCTCTCTTTTGTGGAAACCCGGATCTGTGAGGCAGAATGCACGGTGCAATTATGAAGCAAATATTTGCACGGCTGTTTAATGACTAGCCCTGATATGAAATCAGACAAGCAAGCTGGATCAGTTCCTCTGTGAACCACATGCAGTGGTGCGGTCATTAATTTCCATGAATCTATACTGAATAGGAGGGACGCGGGTGGCGCTGTGGGTTAAACCTCAGCGCCTAGGACTTGCCGATCGCATGGTCGGCGGTTCGAATCCCCGCGGCGGGGTGTGCTCCCGTTGCTCGGTCCCAGCGCCTGCCAACCTGGCAGTTCGAAAGCACCCCCGGGTGCAAGTAGATAAATAGGGATCGCTTACTAGCGGGAAGGTAAACGGCGTTTCCGTGTGCTGCGCTGGCTCGCCAGATGCAGCTTGTCACGCTGGCCACGTGACCTGGAAGTGTCTGCGGACAGCGTTGGCTCCCGGCCTCTAGAGTGAGATGAGCACACAACCCTAGAGTCTGTCAAGACTGGCCCGTATGGGCAGGGGTACCTTTACCTTTACCTATACTGAATAGAGCCTAGCTGTATGCAACAAAGGCAATCTGCACCTGCCTTCTGCAACCTGGCGCCCTCCAGATACTTTGAACTACAACTCCCATCCGCCCCAGTGCTATATGGCCCTGCTAACTTGTAGTGGCTTTCTGGGGTTTCAGGCCCTAGGACAGGGGTAGGCAACCTGGTGCCCTCCGGATGCTGTTTGTTACTTCCCATCATCCTTGAGCACTGGCCACGCTAGATGAGATTGGACCTGGGACCTTCTACATGCGAAGCAGGTGTTCTGCCACTGAGCTACAGCCCTTCCTCTCATACTTCTGTTCCTTTACCCGCTTCTGTTCCCCACTCAGCCTCTGCCAAGCTGGTGGGCCAGACAAGATTTGGCCAATTGTCCACATTGCCCAATACCTTTTGTAAGAAGAACAGTTTGTTTTTCAATGTTTTGTTGTTAGAACAGGAAAAATTCTCAGTGCTCAACAGGCTCGAAACTTTTGCTAACTGTAGAGACAAATGGATCAACACTCGCCCCTAAAGCTGAGACTTCAGATGGTGCAGATAGGCATGGTTTTATTCTGAGGGCTCACTTTAAAAACACAAGCCTGTCTAGTGCAGAACCCTGCTGTTGCAGTGTGCAACCACTTGCTGATTCTGGGAAGCCAGAGCCAAGCCCCACAGCAGCTTTTGCCCCTGCTGTGCTTGTTGGCAGCTGGTCTTCAAAGACATGCTGCCTCCTCCAGTAAGGGAGGCAGAATGTAGTTGTGTAAAACATTGGCCACTTTCCTAGAGGCATATACGGTAGATCCCATGATCAGCTTTCCAGCTTTCACTATCTTTTGACGTGGGCAATAAAATGCATCGTGCCCTTTTCTCCGCAGGCAAGATGGCCCCTGGCACACCCAGAGGCTCCCAGCCAGATTCCAACCTAGCCACTGTGATCCACGCGACGGTCACCTCCAGACTGGATTATTGTAACTCGCTCTACGTGGGGCTGCCCTTGAGACTGACCCAGAAACTCCAGCGGGTACAGAATGCCGCAGCAAGACTCCTTACGGGGTCCTCGCTGCGAGATCACATTCACCCGGTGCTATACCACCTGCACTGGCTCCCGGTGGAATATAGGATCAAGTTTAAGGTGCTGGTTTTAACCTTTAAAGCCCTATACGGCCTAGGACCCTCGTACCTACGGGACCGCCTCTCCTGGTATGCCCCACAGAGAAACCTACGGTCTGTAAATAAAACATCCTCAAGGTCCCAGGCCTCAGAGAGGTTAGGCTGGCCTTAACTAGAGCCAGGGCCTTCTCGGCTGCGGCTCCAATCTGGTGGAATGCTCTGTCACAAGAGACTAGGGCCCTGCGGGACCTGACATCTTTCCGCAGGGCCTGCAAGACAGAGTTGTTCCACCAGGCCTTTGGTCAGGGCGCAGCCTGACTCCCTCCTCTGGCAACCTGCACAGTACTTTGGTTGCCATCAATTTGATTTTAATTAATTTTTATAATGAAATATTTTAGAATGTGTGATTATTCAACTATTTGGTTATTTGATTGTTGTTAGCCGCCCTGAGCCCAGCTTCGGCTGGGGAGGGCGGGATATAAATAAATTTTTTTATTATTATTATTATTATTATTCTTGCAGAGCTGATGGGCAGCTCTAGGTTTCGTCAGTCTCTGAAAGGTTCCGTCTTTATAGCGTAGCACATAAAAGGACAAGCTCATTGGAAAACACAGGTCCATGTATAACAGCAGACCTGTTGCAACAAGCTTTCCTTGGATTCGGGGAAAAGGGTCAGACTTGCCTTGTGGCTCTCTCACGGCATCTCTGGACTGAGATCACCCAAGACTCGAGGATTAGCGCTGTTGAGATGTCTCTTTCTAATGCCAAACTGACTTGGCTTTCCCCTCTCCTCCCCCAGATTGACAAATACCTCTACCACATGCGGCTTTCAGATGAAACCCTGCAGGAGATCTCAAATCGGTTCCGGAAAGACATGGAGAAGGGCCTTGGGGCGGATACCAACCCTACAGCCTCCGTGAAAATGCTGCCGACGTTTGTGAGGTCTACCCCAGATGGAACAGGTAAACAGCCACCACCCAGGAAAGGGTTAAATTCCTGAGCTCTGGGACCCGTCTTGATTGACAACGCTCAGCTATGAAAGATCATAGAACCATGGCCTTGGAAAGGACCCACACGGTCATCTAGTCCAACCCCCTGCAATGCAATGGGAGGTGACGATTAAACAGGAGAGTGTCTCTGAGCACGTGCCAAGTGTTTTTTCTTCCCTGTAACTGAGATGGTTGGCAGACAGGCTTCTCTGCAACCACTGGCCACTTTCTAAAGAGACAAGCCTGACCTTCAGCCCCTGAAGCCTGCTGTCCACAAAGGGTGGCGTGAGCTTCCAAATAACTCTCTTCCTTTCCGGCCTCCATTGCTGGTCTCTTGGCTCTCGTCCACTTAACAGTTTCAAGTTCAAGAAAGAAAACAGTTTTTAGGGAACTAAAAGTAATTTAGGAGGTTTTTATTTATGTGTTTGTTTTATGCCCTACCTTTCCTCAAGTTCAAGGTGGCAGACATGGTTTCCCCCTCCCCATTTTTTCCTCACAACAATCCTGCAAGGTAAGTTAGGGTAAGAGAAGGGGACTGGCCCAGGGTCAGCTGGTAAGTAGGGGAATTCCCAAACCGCGGTGTCTCCCAAGTCTTAGCCTAGCACTCTAACCACTACACCGTGTCTTCTGCCTATGTGTTTGTGTATACATGCACACATATATTATACACAGACTCACTGGATTTGCTCACTGTTGCCTCTGGTCTGACAGGTTTTGCAGGTTTTTGAAACGATGGGGAAATGTGCAGAGCCTCTTCACCTAGAGGCGAGAGGGCAGTGAGCCTGCGCAGTCTGAGCAGATGTCCTACTACTCTGTGTCCCCTTCAGCCCTGCAGAAAAGCCCCCAGCCTCTCCCCCCCCGCCATGGTCTCTCGTGGACTGCACCTCTGGGATGTTAGGTCTGAATTACTCTCAGGCAACAGGGGAACAGAAAGCCTTTCAGTCAGCACCAAAGCTGGCTTCAGTCAGGGAAGTTGGATTGTTTGATGGTTAGCAGCCAAACTGACCCCCTGAAGTTCAGGAAGTCATGGGCTGGGAGCCTCCAGCTCTTTAGTGGGACGTTTCCTGTAAACATCCTTTCTTGGCTTTCTGCTGTTTCCTCAACCTGGTGTCTTCCCAATGCTTTGGGCTTCCATTCCATCAGCCCCGGCAGTGTTGCTGTGCTTCCCAAGTCATAGGATTGTAGAGTCGGAAGGGAGCCCCAAGGTCATGTAATTGAACCCCCTGCAATGCAGGAATCACAGCTGGTCACTCCTTGTTTTCATGGCTGGGGTGGGAGAGATTTTCCACTCAATACTTCAAAGGTTTGCACATGCGCTTAGGTCCAGTAAAGAGACCATTAGGACCTTTGCCCGTCTCACAAGGACAGAGAGCAGAAATAAATACAGTGGTGCCCCGCAAGACGAATGCCTCGCAAGACGGAAAAGCCGCTAGACGAAAGGGTTTTCCGTTTTGGAGGCGCTTCGCAAAACGAATTTCCCTATGGGCTTGCTTCGCAAGACGAAAAAAATCTTGCGAGTCCCCGCAGTTTTTCGCTCCCCCCCCTTTTCCTAAGCCGCCTAAGCTGCTTATCAGCTGTTCCGCTGATAAGCCGCTTAACAGCTGATCACGAAAAAGCCGCTAGACCGCTGTTAGCGCTAATCCGCTAAGCTGTCAATGGGCTTGCTTCGCAAGACGAAAAAACCGCTAGACAAAGAGAATCGCGGAAACGGATTCTTTTCGTCTTGCGAGGCACCACTGTACTGTTAAAGCAGTTGAATGTGGCATGAGGCAGGGCGCTATCACTGAAACTTTGTTAGATCAAAGAATTGTTGAGTTGGAAGAGACCTCGAGGAGAAACCGATTTCTGGCTTAATATGTATTCTTTTGTAGTAAGTTAGCTTAATCATTGTTACTGTGGACCAGATAATACAGCGGGACGCTCGGGTTGCGAACGTTGATCCGTGCGGGAAGCATGTTTGCAACCCGCAGCACCGCATCTGCGCATGTGTGGGTTGCGATTCAGCACTTCTGCGCATGTGCAAAGCTTGATTTAGTGCTTCTGTGCATGCGCAAGTGCCGAAACCCGGAAGTAACCCATTCCAGTACTTCCGGGTTCGGTGCTGTGCGCAATCCGAAATCATGCAACCCGAAGCGTCTGTAATCCAAGGTATGAACTGTAGTAGGAGATATGTGCCAACCCCCCCCCCATTTTTAGCTATTATAATATTAGCAGCAGTCATAAGGTTAGACACTGTTTCATGACCATTTCCCAGAATAACATCTTTTCGATAACCAAGCAGAAATATTTCAGGTGCCAAGGGTATATGGGCTCCTAAGGTGCCGGAGATATTGGTCTGAGCTGATTTCCATAATATTTCTATTTGAGAACAATTCCAAGAGATGTGTATGTAATCTGCATTATTCAGTTCACATCTCCCACCCTAATTTAGATATTAAGTTCCGTTTATAAGGCGTTGAAGGGACGTGGGTGGCGCTGTGGGTAAAAGCCTCAGTGCCTAGGGCTTGACGATCGAAAGGTCGGCGGTTCAAATCCCCGCGGCAGGGTGCGCTCCCGTTGTTCGGTCCCAGCGCCTGCCAACCTAGCAGTTCGAAAGCACCCTTAAGTGCAAGTAGATAAATAGGGACCGCTTACTGGCGGGAAGGTAAACGGCGTTTCCGTGTGCTGCGCTGGCTCGCCAGATGCAGCTTTGTCACGCTGGCCACGTGACCCGGAAGTGTCTTCGGACAGCGCTGGCCCCCGGCCTCTTAAGTGAGATGGGCGCACAACCCTAGAGCCTGTCAAGACTGGCCTGTACGGGCAGGGGTACCTTTACCTTTATAAGGCGTTGAATGAAGGGCTGCAAAATAGTTTTCCTTTAGGTCTGCTGGAGTTAGAATAGATGTGGGGCAGGGGCATTTTGCAAGTGTGAGAAGGTGAGCTGAGCATCCTAAGGAAAACGGGAGAATTACAAGGCTTGGGGCTGAAGAGCAGGCTGGGATAGTTTCGTCTTGCCAACTTGGCACCAGGATCTTGACTTGGCACTGGGCTCTTGTGTTCTCGGAAAGGGGCTGACGGCTGGTCAGAAATGTCCCCTGCATTTGACCCCTCCACATGTTTCTGCTGCTACCCTCCACCCTCAAAACAAGGCCCGGGGAGGCTGGGTTTGGGGCCAGCTGGCTCCTAAGAATTGCCTGGATGAGAACCCTGAGGAGAGGCAGCTCCCTGTCCGGCTGGAGGAGCAGGCTGCCCACGTGAATTGTTGCAACACTGGAACCTCCTCTTGAGTTGGCAGAGAGACCGGCCCAGAAATGGGGAAGGGTCATCTGGAGGTGGACGGGGGCCAAGGAATGCGCTGCTTCTGCAAGGAGCTCCAGATGGTTATCTAGGCTTGCAAAGCAAGAAGGGAGAATTTCCCCTCGGGAAACCAAGCTGGGAAGTTTTTGTAAATGGGGTGGGGTGTGGGATGGTGGAACAGGCTGATGACTACCACCCAGAAAAGGGCTCACTGAGCTAGGTCTGAGCTCCACAACCTGTGTGGATCACCAAAGCTCAGCTTTGAAAGATCACAGAATTGTTGAACTATGAGTCAGAAGGGACCGAAAGGGTCATCTAGTTCAACCCCCTGCAACGCAATGGGAGGCGACAATAAAAAGGGAGAGTCTCTCTGAGCATGCACCAAGTGCTTTCTCCTCATGTAACTCAGACTTGTCAGCTGACACGTATCCCTCAGCTGCTTTCTAAAGAGAGGGGCCTCTGAAGCCTCCTGTCCCCAAAAGATGGAAAGGACTTCTTTCAAATAATCTTGTTCCTTTCCAGTCCCCTTCGCTGGTATCTCGTCCCACTTGATTGCTTCATGTCGGAGCCAGAAAATACAGTGGTGCCTCGCAAGACGAACGCCTCGCAAAACGAAAAACTCGCAAGACGAAAGAGTTTTCCGTTTTTGAGTCGTTCCGCAAGACGAATTTCCCTATGGGCTTGCTTCGCAAGAAGAAAGCCCATAGGGAAATCTCCGGGGACCTCTTTTAAATGCTGGCGGTGGGGAGCAAAGCCTTTCGCCCCCCTGCAGCCTTCAGAAGAGGTCCAGGAAGGCCGGCGGGGGCCGAAAGGCTTTGCTCCCCACTGCCAGCATTTTAAAAGCGGTCCGGGATAGCAGGGAATTGCGCTGCACTTTCCCGCTATCCCGGACCGCTTTTAAAATGCTGGCCATCAGGAGCAAAGACTTTCGCCCACCGCCGGCCTTCCTGGACCTCTTCTGAAGGCCGGAGAGGGGGGGGGCGAAAGGCTTTGCTCCCCCCGCCTGCCTTCCCGGGACAGCGGAGACTTCTCCGCTGTCCCGGGGGCTTTTAAAATGCTGGCAGGCGGCAGCAAAGCCCTCCTGTCCCCGGAGCTTGCGGGGCGGGAGGTGGGGAGAAGGGCTTTTCTTCCCACCGCCAGCCTTCAGAAGGCTGTTCTGAAGGCTGGCGGTGGGAAGAAAAGCCCTTGTTCCCTCCCCCCCCCCAGCCTTCAGAAGAGGTCGGGGGACAGACTGTCCCCGGACCTGGTCTGAAGGCGGTTTCCATAGGAACGCATTGATTGATTTTCAATGCATTCCTATGGGAAACCGTGCTTCGCAAGACGAAAAACTCGCAAGAAGAAAAAACTTGCAGAACGAATTAATTTCGTCTTGCGAGGCACCACTGTAGTTTCAGGGAGTTGAGTTGGGCCTTGAGTTGGCAGGGGAACAGTCCCACACATGAGGAATGGTTGTTTTAAGACAGACGAGGATCAAGGAATTTGCTATTTCTGCAAGGAGTGTCAGGTGCCTATCTAGGCTTGTAAAGCAGCAAGGGAGAATTTGCCTCAGGAAACCAAACTGGGAAGTTTTTGTAAATAGGGGTTAGGGAAATATGTCTCTCTCTCTCTCTGCTCTCATTTGAGGGCATTTTCAGCCATATCATAGAATTGTAGAATTAGAAGGGACCCCAGGGGTCATCTAGTCCAACCCCCTGCATTGCAGGAATCTCAACTAAAGGCCATCCAACCTTTGCATAAAAACCTCCCATGAAGGAGATTACACAACCTCCCGAGGAGACCGTTCCACTGTTGAACAGCTCTTACTGTCAGAAAGTTCTTCCTGATACTTTCTTGTAACTTGAATCAGCAGGCATAGGCAAACTCCGGCCCTCCAGACGTTTTGAGACTACAATTCCCATCACCCCTGACCACTGGTCCTGTTAGCTAGGGATGATGGGAATCGTAGTTCCAAAACATCTGGAGGGCCAGAGTTTGCCTATGCCTGCTCTAGAGCAGGAGATAAACAAGCTGGCTCCATCTTCCATGTGACAGCCCTTCAGATATTTGAAGGTAACTACAGCATCATTTCTCAGTCTTCTCATCTGCAGGCTACACATTCCCAACTCCCTCAACAAGGCTTGGTTTCCAGACCCTTGGTCATCTTAGCTGACCTTCTCTGCACACCTTCCAGCCTGTCAATATCCTCCCTAAAACTGAACACAATACTCCAGGTGTGGTCTGACCAAGGCAGAATAGAGCGGGACTATTGTTTCCCTTAACTGGGACACTAGACGTCTGTTGATGTGTATGGATATTTATTTATTTATTACATTTCTACCCCACATTTCCTCCCAGGAGCCCAAGGTGGTGTATATATAGTTCTCCTCCTCATTTTATCCTCACAAGAATCCTGTCTTGTAGGTTAGGCTGAGAGTGAGTGACCAGCCCAATATCACCCAGTGAGCTTCATGTCTGAGTGGGGATTTAGAATAGAATCATAGAATCATAGAGTTGGAAGAGACCACAAGGGCCATCGAGTCCAACCCCCTGCCAAGCAGGAAACACCATCAGAGCACTCCTGACATATGGTTGTCAAGCCTCTGCTTAAAGACCTCCAAAGAAGGAGACTCCACCACACTCCTTGGCAGCAAATCCCACTGTCGAACAGCTCTTACTGTCAGGAAGTTCTTCCTAATGTTTAGGTGGAATCTTCTTTCTTGTAGTTTGGATCCATTGCTCCGTGTCCGCTTCTCTGGAGCAGCAGAAAACAACCTTTCTCCCTCCTCTATATGACATCCTTTTATATATTTGAACATGGCTATCATATCACCCCTTAACCTCCTCTTCTCCAGGCTAAACATGCCCAGCTCCCTTAGCCGATTTGAACCCTGCTCTCTCCTACTGCCTCCAGCTGGGGGCATATTTGCTGCCTGGGGTGAAGAATGGGCCAGCGGCCCATCTGGTCCAGCGTCCTGCTCTCAAAACCCCTACAAGACAGGCAAGGCTGTGGTTTAGCTAACTTTATGGTGCTGCTGCAGGAAAAAGCGGGCCCGTGATATCTCCCATGGGGAAAGCAGAGCGGATCTCTGCAAAAACGCAGCCCTAATTCTGCACTTTCCAAGAAGATGAGGGGTTTAACCCCTCCTATGCCTGCCAGGCCTCCTTGGCAAAAGGTCTCTTGATGTCATCTGCTGCCCTCACCCAGCGGGATCCACTTTCAGTTTAAGAATCTGGCTGTGTGTGTGAGAGAAGAGATAAAATGGCAGAGGGGGATGCTTTGCTGGGGGGCAACTGTTTGGGGAAGGGTTAAGCAATTCTCCCACCCTATATCTAGCCCACTAGTTCTCCCTGGCACCAGCCCCTGTTTCTCCTTTGCAGTCTTGAGTTCTTCTCTCAGAGACCAGGGGCACACTGAGCCTGGGTGCTTGGACATTGTCATAGGAGATCTTGCCAACACGATGAGGGTGATCCCCATAGGAAGCTGAACTTATCTACGGCGGGAATCCTTGCCATGAGAAGGGCTGTTTTGATTCTCTCCTTGCCAGCTGGCCTGCAACTCTGAAGCAGGAAGGCGGTGGGAGAACTCTGCATGGATTCAGCCCAGACTTGGGGCCAACAGGGTTCTTCCTCTCCCCTCCCTGATCTGGGGTGGGTTGCTGAGGCCCCTGGTCAGAGAGTATTAATTTCGTATCTCTTGCATGCTGTTGTCGGAATGCAGAGTGACTCTCTGGTGTATCGGTTTCTGGGCCCCCACATTGATTCCTAGGAGCAAGATCCTTTGTAGGATTTCTTAAATCGAGGATTGCGGAAAACACTGAAAGAGATGTTGATACATACATCAGATGGGTTTCTTTTTTTTTTTTTTTTTTTTTTTAAATATTTTTTATTGCTTTTTTTCCAGGGTCAAATACATCGTCAGTAACTCAACAAAAAGCGGTTTTACAGAATAAAGAAAGAAAGATAGAAAAAAGAAAATTTCAAACATTTTTCATGATCCACTGGACTTCCCCACATCCCCAGCGCCCTGCATTCTTTATAAAAAATAAAATTACAGCAAATTAATACCTTGTTTCATGCGTTTTTGTACTTTCATCTGATTATATTTTAGCTTTAGAGTACTTATTGTTAAGTAACTTCTTTCTATCCTCCATCCCTAATATTAGGAACATTGCTCTAAATTTTGAACTTTTCACAATCATAACTTAATTTCCCCCATCTTCAAATCTCCATACTGAAGCATGTTTTTCCAATGACTTAGCAAATTCTCAACATTCATATAACTTATAATGCTTTTGTAGATAGTCCTTAAATTTTTTCCAGTCCTCTTCCACTACCTCTTCTCCCAGGTCCCGGATTCTGCCTGTCATTTCGGCCAATTCCATGTAGTCCATCAGTTGCGTATGCCACTCTTCCAGCGTGGGTAACTCCTGTGCCTTCCAGTATTTAGCTATAAGGATTCTTGCTGCAGTAGTTGCATAGAGAAAAAAAGTTCTGTCCTTTTTTAACACTCTCTGGCCCACAATGCCCAGGAGGAAGGCTTCTGGTTTCTTGTGAAAGGTATACTTAAATACCTTTTTCAACTCATTATAAATCATTTCCCAAAAAGCCTTCACCTTCGGGCATGTCCACCAGAGGTGAAAAAAAGTTCCTTCAGCTTCCTTACATTTCCAACATTTATTATCAGACAAATGATATATCTTTGCAAGTTTGACTGGGGTCATGTACCACCTGTATATCATTTTCATAATGTTTTCTTTCAGGGCAGTACAAGCCGTAAATTTCATACCGGTGGTCCATAACCTTTCCCAGTCTTCAAACATAATGTTGTACCCAATATCTTGAGCCCATTTTATCATAGCTGATTTGACAGTCTCGTCTTGAGTATTCCATTTAAGCAACAAGTTATACATTCCTGAAAGCACTTTCGTCTTAGGTTCAAGTAGTTCTGTCTCTAATTTCGATTTCTCCACCTGGAAGCCAATTTTTTTGTCCTTTTTAAAAGTTTCTTGTATTTGGGCATAATGTAGCCAGTCTCGCACCTTATCTTTTAATTTTTCTAAACTCTTCAACTTCCAATTGTCTCCGACTCTTTCTATTATCTCGCAATATTTTGCCCAGCCACTCTCCATGTTAAGCATTTTTGGGGCCTTAGCCTCCATTGGTGATAGCCACCTCGGAGTCTTGTTTTCAAGTAAGTCTTTGTATTTGGTCCAGACATTGAACAAGGCTTTCCTGACAATATGGTTTTTAAACAATTTATGAACCTTTACCTTGTCGTACCACAAATATGCATGCCACCCAAACGCATTGTTAAACCCTTCCAGATCTAGGACATCAGTGTTTTCTAGTAAAAACCAATCCTTCATCCAGCAGAAGGACGCAGCTTCGTAATATAACCTTAAGTCCGGCAGGGCAAATCCCCCTCTTTCTTTTGCATCTGTTAGAATTTTAAATTTTATCCGGGGCTTTTTGCCCTGCCAGACAAACTTCATAATGTCCTTCTGCCACTTTCCAAAACATTCCACTCTGTCCACAATCTGCAGGGTTTGGAACAAAAACAACATCTTAGGCAATACATTCATCTTTACAGCTGCGATTCTTCCCAACAAGGAAAGTTTCAATCTCGACCAAATTTCTAAGTCCTTTTTAATTTCAGACCAACATTTTTCATAATTATCTTTAAACAAATTCAAATTTTTCCCAGTCAAATTGACCCCCAGGTACTTCACTTTTTTAACCACATTTAATTCCGTTTCCTTCTGAAACCCCTCTATTTCTGAAGAAGTCAAGTTTTTTGCCAGGACCTTAGTTTTTTGTTTATTCAACTTGAATCCCGCCACCCGACCAAACTCATAGATTAATTCTAGGACTCTTTTTGTGCTAGATTCTGGCTCCTGCAATGTTAAAACTAAATCATCTGCGAAGGCTTTCAGTTTGTATTGTTTTCCTCCGACCTGTATTCCTTCCACCAGCTGATCCCTTCTAATCAAGTTCAACAGCACCTCCATACATCAGATGGGTTTCTAAGCCTTAGCAGGGTGCAGTCTGTACATGTCATAGAATCATAGAATTGTCGGGCTGGAAGGGGAGTCTAGTCCAACCCCCCACAGTGCAGGAATAACAGGTAAAGAGCCCCCGACAGTCCCGTTTCTCATGGATGCAAGCCCCCCCCCATGTACAGTGGATTGATGTCAGTGAGGAATGGGGTCATGGCAGCCTCTAACTGATGTCTGTTTGGTTTATTGTCTGCACGAACACCATATGGCTAGAGCCCTCTTCACAAGACCTGGAACTTCAGAATCACAGAGTTCCTGGCCTTGCCAACTTCCCTTTTCTGCAAGGAGAAGTGGATGCTGAGAGAGGCTCTTGAGAAGCCAAAATGACCCTGCTGGATCAGACCAGCGGCGCACCTAGTCCACCATCCTGTTCTCACAGTGGCCAGTCAGATGCCTATGAGAAACCCACAAGCAAGATTCAAGCACAAGAGTCCTCTGCTCTCTTTGGTTTACAGCAACTGGTATTCAGAAGCTCTGCAGCCTCTGCCTGTGGAGGCACAGCCCAGGCCTCATGGCTGGTAGCTTCTCAATAAATGTCTTCCGGCAGATGCCCAGCCAAATCTAGTTCACCATCCAGGGCTTCTTACGTCAGTGAGTGAAACAATCCCTATCTTTTCTTTTTTTCTTTTCCCCTGCAGAGGAAGGTAACTTCTTGGCCTTGGACCTCGGTGGCACAAACTTCCGGGTCCTGAGAGTCAAGGTGGCTGATAATGGCAGCAAGAAAGTAGAGATGGAGAACCAGATCTATGCTATCCCTGAGGATCTTATGCGGGGCAGCGGAGTGCAGGTGAGTTGAGCTGCCTCCTCTTGGCCATCTCAGGAACCTTTTGGCACCATTGCTCTTTCCTCTTAAAAAAGGAAGCTAAATCAGGAACGGTCATACTTCCAACGATGGGGAAGCCGTGACGAAGGACTGCAGAGAAAGGACCTCAGCAACCACGCTTAAGTGGCTGTTTAGATCTCCTGGGCCCAGGACAATTTGGCTTTAAATGGGAAAAGCAGCACCTTGACTTGAGCTTGGAAACAAGCTTGTCATTTGAAGGTACAAAATTGTCACCTGGTCCAGTCACCTGCTCAGACACTTTGCTTGCCTTCTCTTAATTTCACACGATTTGTGATGGCTTCTTGGTCATGGTGCAAATTCTCAACTCTTAGGGAAGCTGTTTAGAAACAGAGGGAGTTCTTAAACCGCACTGTTTCCTTGTGATGAAATGTTTTTGGGGAAGCTGATAGGATCCAGATTCATTTTCGAATCCTTTGACAAACGATTTCCAGGTCATTCAGGTTAAGCGGCAGTACAAAAAAACAAAACAAAAATAGTGTTTGCAAATTTTCTGCTCCAAAAAAGGGTCCAGAATTCTGCAGTTTAGAATGAATGTTTTATCGTTAGACTCCAGCTGCCAAGTTCTAGTTTCAATGGATGTATATACTGTGTGTGTAGTATAGAAATAAATAAATCCTGATGCCACCATTGTCTGACCACAGCCAGCCTTCCTAAGTGTGTGTCTCCTTCTCTGCCCCTTCAGCTCTTTGACCACATTGCTGAATGTTTAGCTAACTTCATGGACCAACTGGAAATCAAGGACCAGAAACTCCCTCTGGGCTTCACTTTCTCCTTTCCTTGCTCCCAGACCAAACTGGATGAGGTAAGCTTGCGACTCAAGTTCTCCTGGGATTCGTGAGAGAGATGGTGAAGGCTCCAGGAATTCTGGAGGATTTCCTGCTTTAAACTTTGCCTCCTCCATGAATTCAATTAGGAGGCTTTGGAGAAGCTAATTTCTTGGCACCTGGTTTGCAAGATATGCGGGTAATAATTCTGGTCTGCCCCGTAGGGCCATTGTAAGAACTTACTAAGATGATGTACATGGAATACTTTCAACATTCATGATATTAAGAATAGTTAACCCATGAGGAGGGTGTGTCAGGCACTTTTTGGAGCTCGGGACTTTTGTGTAGAGGAGAAATGGCTGTTTTGGGTGATAGAAACTGGGCTGGCTTCCCATTAGCAAATGGAAATGTTACGATGATTATTTTATTTACTTAATAGAATTCAGTACATCACTTGATTGTAAAAAAACCCAACCAACCCTCAAAGCAATTTACAAAGAAAATAAAACAATACAGCTATCAGTAAAAACAACTCTTTAAAACATTTAAAAGATAGAAACAGTAATAAACTAAAAACAGATTAAAACCTACATTAAGCTTGCCTAAGCAAAAACGTTTTTCTCAAGTGCTGTAAAGAGTGCACTGAAGGATGTCAAGAGGCAGGGAGTTCCAGAGGACAGGTGCTGCTACACTGAAGGTTTGAGTTTTTACAAATGCAGAACAGGTATTAGGTGGCACCTAGAGCACTCCCAGCTCTGCCAGTTGAAGTGGCTGAGTGGGCATATGCGAGCAAGGTGATCTCACAGGTTTTTATTGTGATCTTTACCCACTCTTCCCAGGGCTGGTCCCAGGGCAGGTTTGAAATTCAGTATTCAAAAGTTGAAACAAATTACAGTCCCAGGAGTTGGGTGGCGCAGGTAAGTCCCATCTTGCTTGGGGATTATGTTCCAGGGAAGGCACATGTACACAGAAACATGTATACTCAAACCATTCCCTTGGAACTGCCTCCTTCTTTATGGGAAAACCCCACGCAAAAAGTGCTTCTAAGCTCTCTGCCTTCCATGCATTTAATCTGAGCTATTTCAACCGGCCAGCCTTCAACTGTGTAAAGCTGAAATGGCACAAGTGAAAGGTGCATTAAGTTGTGAGGTCCCTGTGTTACAACTACGGTGTGGGAAAGTTCTCTCTGCTTTGGAGCCTGAACCTCTGTTTCTCTCCCCTGGCTGGCCTGCAGTTCCTTATTTCCTTTCCTCTTATTCTCAAACAGAGCGTCCTCGTGACGTGGACCAAGGGATTCAAATCCAGTGGTGTGGAAGGCCGGGACGTTGTGGGCCTCTTACGGGAAGCCATAAGAAGACGAGGGGTAAGCTAAGCCTGTTGCTGTCTCTAAGATAGTATTTGTGTGTGTTGTTATTACTATTACATTTTGTTATTACTATTTTGTTATTACATTTTGTTATTACTATTACATTTACCGTATATACTCGAGTATAAGCCAACTCGAATATAAGCCGAGGCACCTAATTTTACCACAAAAAACTGGGAAAACTTACTGACTCGAGTATAAGCCGGTTCACCACACCACAAATCTCCTGGTGGGCCGGAGTGCGTGTGTGTGTGTGTGTGTGCACACATGCGCACACGGCAGAGGGGGCTTCTCCTGTCCCCCTGCCCCTCTGCTGCCGAGAGGCAGAGGCTGGTGACAGCAAAGGCAGCGGAGGAGGAAGCAGCAGCCCAAAAGGGACCCTCACTCGAGTATAAGCCAAGGTGGGCTTTTTCAGCATAAAAAAATGTGCTGAAAAAGTCGGCTTATACTCCAGTATATACAGTATACCCCCCATTTTCCTCCAAAGAGCTAAAAGGTGGCATACATGCCCCTCCTCATTTAATCCACACGACAACCCTGTGAGGTAGATTAGGCTGAGAAACTGTGGCTGGCCCAGGGTCACCCAGTGAGCTTCAGGGTTAAGTGGGGATTTGAACCCTGATCTCCCGGGTCTTAGTCCACCACTATGACCACCTCGCTTTGCCCGCTCTAGAGCCAGGCAGCTGAATTCCTTTCATTTCCCCCAGTGTGTTGGAGGTGGCAGAGTGCATCCATGGCTGCCTGTGGAACTGATGGCCAGGAGATGGTCGCTGGATGGGCAGGAGCGATATGCCCAGTTCTTCGGCCATGCCCACTCCTTGGTCCTCTCTGGCATCTCCAGGGAGGGCTTGACCTGCAACCTGGAGAGCCACTGCGGGTCAGTGTTGACACTCGCTCAGCTAGATGGGCCATTTCCACAGGAAGCTGCCTTTTCCCGAGTCTGAGCATTGGTCCCTCAAGGTCGGTGTTCTCCTCACTGGCTCTGCAGGATTCCACACAAGAGTCTGTCCTTGCACTACCTGGAGATGCCAGGTGGACACAGACAGTGAACTGTACCATGTCATAACAGGCGGCTACTCCATACGCCTCTCGTATCAGGCAGCTGCCACTGAATACCAGTTTCTGGGGGGCACAAGTGGGCAACTGCCTCTGCCCTCCAGCCCTGCTTATGGGCTTCCCAAGGGACTAAGGGGGCCTCTGGCCTGATCCAGTTGCAAAGCTCTTCTTGCCTCCTCCTGAGCTTGTCAGCTTGGTGGAGTTCCAGTTTCTCCTTGCACGGGGTGGGGTGGAGGCCTGTGTGTGAGAGCCCCTGGCCCACATTGCCTACCAGATGCCACATTTTCTTCTTACTTTTTTGGAGCCAGGACATCGCTAGATGTTCATGGTGCCTCAGCCTCCCTTGTGCAAAGTGCCTTGGGAGTTGGGGGCTGTGGTGCAGTGTGAGCTGGGCCTGGGTCTGACCCATCCAGACAACCAGCTCTTTCCCCACCCAGTTTCTGGAGCCTCATCCTGGAGGGGTAAAGTGAGTGGGTGTTTCTGTTTGCGTGGGTGTGAATGAAGTGAAAAGCAGCACAGTATATGCAGAAGAGATTTAAATAAGAAAGAAGAAAACCTGAGACACTTAGGAAAACCAAATCACACATTGCACAGTGGAGAGGGGGTTCTATGTGCCTGTATCTGTGGTAATAATAATAATAATAATAATAATTATTTATACCCTGCCCATTTGGCTGGGCCTCCCCAGCCACTCTGGGCGGCATCCATAGAAACCAAAAATACAGTAAAGTATATAAGGTATATAAGTTAAAATCCCACCAAAGAGCATATAATTCTTTGGAATCCTCTGAGTCTTTGTGTTAATTTATGAGTTAATTTTTTTCAGCTAATGCCAAACTCCACATATTTTTATACCAAAGCAAAAGTTGCACATCCTGTAAGGTTTTCCATTTTGGGGCAGCTGAGGTTCTGGCAGTCACCAGCCTCCAGGTCAGGAGTCCTTGAGAACTGAAATATTTCAGTTGATCACACCCCCCCCCCCACAGAAGCTGGAATAGAATGTTTGAGTATTTTGGACATTTCTTGACAAACCATTGTTCAGAATTTGCATCAACGGTGGCCTTTTCCAACTTCCTGCTCTGTAGGACTTTGAGATTGATGTTGTGGCTGTGGTGAATGACACCGTTGGGACAATGATGACCTGCGGCTACGACGATCACAACTGTGAAATCGGGCTGATTGTTGGTAAGAAGTCTGCGGGGAGAGGAGGGCAGTGACATTTCCCCCACCTTTGGAAAGCACCTGAATTTCCTGCGTACCTGAGGCCAGCCTGCTTCTTACGTTATAAGTAATATTTGTACACTACTTGTCTGTAAAACAAAACAAAACAAACCTCAAAGTGGCTTACAATTAAGATAAAACAATAAAATTAACATTCAGAAGAATTAAGAACAATAATTTAAGACTTTCAGAAAATAACAGTAGACTAAAAAGAGGTTAAAATGCAAATAAACTTTCAAAACATCTGAATAGGCTTGTCTGAACAAAAATGTTTTTAGGACACACTGAAAATAGTACAGTCAAGGTGCCTATCTGGTATCAATAGGCAGGGAGTTCCAAAGTGTAACTACTGTCAGACTAAAAGATTGAGTTCTTACAAATGCAGAATGGGCATTTTGTGGCACCTGTGGCATTGCCAGTTCCAACGATCAAAGCAGTTGAGGGGGCACATGTGAGGTAAGGTGATCTCATAGCTCAAGTGGCCCCAAGTTGTTAAGGGCTTTGTATACTAATTGTAACACCTTGGACTTGATCCAGAAGCAAGCCAGCAACCAGTGCTGATCTCTGAGCACAGGGGTTCAATGCTGACACGGCCACACTCCTGTCAGCAATTGCGTTGCAGCATTCTGCATTAACGGCAGCTTCCAGATCCAAGTGCGAGGGAAGCCCCACACAGAGCGCATTGCAGCAGTCCAGATAGTTTGATCCCTCCATCTCGCACGCTGTCTTTTGACCTGCCAAAAATACGTCTTAGAAAGTAGTGGCGGCTTTTATTTAGTCTCTTCTGGCACTTTGCTTGCAGTCGCAGAGCCCCATGAGTGTTCCGGGCCAGAAAGGCCAGGAAATAAAGCAGGGGCAATCATAGAATCATAGAGTTGGAATAGACCACAAGGGCCATCGAGTCCAACCCCCTGCCAAGCAGGAAACACCATCAGAGCACTCCTGACATATGGTTGTCAAGCCTCTGCTTAAAGACCTCCAAAGAAGGAGACTCCACCACACTCCTTGGCAGCAAATTCCACTGTCGAACAGCTCTTACTGTCAGGAAGTTCTTCCTAATGTTTAGGTGGAATCTTCTTCCTTGTAGTTTGGATCCATTACTCTGTGTCCGCTTCTCTGGAGCAGCAGAAAACAACCTTTCTCCCTCCTCTATACGACATCCTTTTATATATTTGAACATGGCTATCATATCACCCCTTAACCTCCTCTTCTCCCGGCTAAACATGCCCAGCTCCCTTAGCCGTTCCTCATAAGGCATCGTTTCCAGGCCTTTGACACCGTCCAGCCTCCAGAAGCCAACCTGGCCAACAGCCAGGGATGATGGGGGCTGTCACTCAGCGGCATCTGGAGAGCACTGTACTGGCTGCCCTTGAAAGTAGGGAAAGGGTGGGAGGCTCCAGCTGCAGGTTTTCCACTCTCATGGAGTCTCCTAATCTCTCTCTCTCTCCCTCCCTTTAGGTACAGGTAGCAATGCATGCTACATGGAGGAGATGCACCACATTGACCTCGTGGAGGGCGACGAGGGGCGCATGTGCATCAACATGGAGTGGGGAGCTTTTGGCGACGATGGGGCCCTGAATGACATCAGGACCGAGTTTGACCGGGAGATTGACATGGGCTCCCTGAACCCGGGAAAGCAGCTGTAAGTCCTGTGCCTCAGCTGCGGTTTTTTTAAAAAAATATGAACCCTGGGTAGCATCAGAAGGACCTGCTGGGTCAGGCAGAAAGGGCCCCTTTTGCCCAGCGTCCTGTTCTCACAAATGCCTGTTATAGGAAACCAGCAAGCAGGCTTTGAGCACAAGAGCTTCTCCCCTCCTGTGGTTTCTGTCAACTGCAGTGGGGCAGGAGAGCTGAAAAATAATCCACATCTGGCAAAATGGCCAGTCAAAATGGCCCTTGGGTTTCAGCTAGAACGTGGGTAAAGGTAAAGGTACCCCTGCCCGAACGGGCCAGTCTTGACAGACTCTAGGGTTGTGCGCTCATCTCACTCAAGAGGCCGGGAGCCAGCGCTGTCCGCAGACACTTCCAGGTCACGTGGCCAGCGTGACGAAGCTGCTCTGGCGAGCCAGAGCCGCACACGGAAACGCCGTTTACCTTCCTGCTAGTAAGCGGTCCCTATTTATCTACTTGCACCCGGGGGTGCTTTCGAACTGCTAGGTTGGCAGGCGCTGGGACCGAGCAACGGGAGCGCACCCCGCTGCGGGGATTCGAACCGCCGACCTTTCAATCGGCAAGCCCTAGGCGCTGAGGCTTTTACCCACAGCGCCACCCGCGTCCCTTTAGAACGTGGGTAGACAAGTCTAAAAAGCAGGGACACAAATTTTCATGGTGGCTCATTAATTGGAACTAATGTATCTCGCATTGGCCCTGGAAGTGTACGCTCCATTCTGACTAAACTAAGGCTCCTGATGTGTATTTAGCTCTAGGAAGGCTTGCCTAAATAAAAAAGGTTTTCAACATGCACTGAAAAGAGTACAGTGAAGGCACCTGCCTGGTATCAATAGGCAGGGAGTTCCGAAGTGTAGTGCTGCCACATGAAAAGATTGCTTGCTTGCAGGTGTGGAATGAGTCTTATGTGGTAGCTGTAACAGTGCCAATTCCGCAGATCAAAGCAGTTGAGAGGGCGTGTCTGAAGTAAGGCAATACCGCAAGTAAACTAGTCCCAATTTGATTTTAGGAATATGCTTGCTGGCTTAAAGCAGGATATTTAGCTGGTACCAAACAAGAACCTGGGAAGTGCAGTGAAAGTTCTGCAGAGGGTTACATGGTTGTTGAGCGCTTCCCCTGTCCAAGGGCTTCGTTTTCCTTGCCGGGGGGAGAGGCACAGGATGTATGGAGGGGCTCTCATTTTCACAACTCCTTTGAGGGCTGAGCTCCTGCCCTACGCATTCTTGCCACCATATGCAACCCAAACTATCCATCAAACTCCTTTTCAAGTTTATGGTGTGTTGGAGCTTCAGTTTCTGCTGCTGCCCAAACTCAGTCTCTCGCTCTCTCACCTTGGGGTGTGTCACAGGTTTGAGAAGATGATCAGCGGGATGTACATGGGTGAACTGGTCAGGCTCATCCTGGTGAAGATGGCCAAGGAAGACCTCCTCTTCGATGGGAGACTCACCTCAGACTTATTGACGACGGGACACTTTGAGACCAGATACGTCTCTGCAATTGAAAAGTGAGTGAATGGGCCTTGCCTTGTGTTTTCCGTGCTCCTAAATCTGTAGCTTTGGAATAGCCAGAACAAATCCCCCTTGGTGTTTTCCCCATGTGCCTTCTCCGGAGGGATCCTAGGAGCCCATCCTCAGTGGCTGACTCACCTCCTTTTTCTCTGATTGACTGCAATCAGCACAAGGGTGAGACAGGCGTCTCAGTGGCTGAACAGCTCCCCTTTCACGCTGACTGGGTGGCCCTGGGATGCTGGGGACAGGGAGCCTGTTTCAGAAATAGTAAAGGACCTTTGACTCTCCACGACCCCAGAGCACCCCCCCCTCTGCCGTGCAGGAACTGCTGCCTCTTACAGCAGTTTGCTTGCCCTCCTGGATTTGCAGGGAGAAGGAAGGCCTCCTGAAAGCCCAGGAGATCCTCACGAAGCTGGGCCTGGAACCCTCCCACGAAGACTGTGTCGCCACCCAGCGCATCTGCGAGATTGTCTCCACGCGCTCGGCCAACCTCTGTGGCGCTGCCCTGGTGGCTGTGCTCCGGCGCATCAAGGAGAACAAGCGCGTCGAGCGCCTGCGCTCCACTGTTGGAGTGGACGGGACGGTCTACAAGAAGCATCCTCAGTAAGTGGAGCAAGCAAAGCAGCCTTCATCGCAATGGGGTGTGGGGTTAATCGAAAGCAAGTCCCTTGCGTGCCAATCCTAGAAGGAGAAGCTATCCCAGAATGCTCCCTCAAACATTCCTCGTAAAGTGCTTGGTTTGCAGCAAGGGCAGACTTTTGGTCTTTCACCAGCGAGGCCAAAATTCAGCTGCCCCCACCTCTCACCTTTCATTCTGCATGTGCACAACATGATAGTTGTTGCACCCTGTGGCACCCAGTGCTGGGGAACTGGTCTCACTGCCCTAAATCTGCCTCTGTTTCCACACCCTTTTTTTTTTTTAAAGAGATATTTATTCAAGTTTTACAAAAAGAAAACGTAAGTATACAAAATAGAGAAAATTATAACAACAATTAGCAAACTAAAATGATAACAACAATTAACAAACTAAAAAACACACATAGGAAAAAGAATAAAAAAGGTACAAAATACAAAAAACAGGTAGCTGAAAAGAAGAAATTTAAAAAGAAAATATATCCATTTTTCAATATCTTTGAGCTCATTTACTTGTTTCCTTGACCTCCTCACACCTCCCCTTTTTGTATTCCCATTTACAAAGACATTTCAGCAAATCCTTACCCTCTTTCATTTATCTTTACTCTATATCTTAACTTATTATAACTGTATATTTTCATCCATTATCCATCCGTATTTACATGTTCTTATTAATCTTGTAGCCAATACCACTTATTTTCAATCCAACATCATTTTAACATTCAATAATTTTACAGTATTTCTGCAAATAGTCTTTAAATTTCTTCCAATCTTCTTCCACCGACTCTTCTCCCTGGTCTCGGATTCTGCCAGTCATTTCTGCCAGTTCCATATAGTCCATCACCTTCATCTGCCACTCTTCCAGTGTGGGTAAAACTTGTGTCTTCCAATACTTTGCAATCAGTATTCTTGCTCTGTTTCCACACCCTTGATCACCTTGGCCCCCGTCCTTTTCACACCCCCAGCTTATCCAGATGCCCCTTCAACTTTGCTCTTCGCTGGCTGTGCTCAGGGAGTTCATCCTTCGGGGAGGGAATCCATGGTCCTCCAGATGATGCTTTCCCTGTCTGTGATTTCTGGATGTGCCATGGATGTGTTTGTAATGGTCCTGTTCTACTCCCTTGCCTTGCACAGCTTTGCTCGCCGCCTTCAGAAGATGGTGCGCCGCTTCCTGCCCGATTGCGACATCCGATTCATCCGCTCGGAGGACGGGAGCGGGAAAGGCGCGGCCATGGTCACCGCAGTGGCTTACCGGCTGGCAGCCCAACACAAAGCGCGCCAGAAGATCTTGGATCCTCTGAGACTCAGCCGGGAGCAGCTCCTGGAGATAAAGAAGAGGATGAAGGAAGAGATGGAGCGGGGCCTGGGCCACGAGACGCACGAGGAGGCCACCGTGAAGATGCTGCCCTCTTATGTCTGCTCCATCCCAGACGGAACAGGTAACGTGGGTTGAAGATCGTGGACAGTGTCCTTGGCCAAATCCGGTTGGCCACTTGTGTGCATCACTTGTACTGGAGCAGGACTTGGGAGACACGGTTTCAAATCCCCACTGAGCCATGAGCAAGTCGCAGCCTCTCATTCTAGCCTACCTCGCAGGGCCATTTTGCGCATGAAATGGGCAGGAGAACTATGCGCACCACATTGGTCTCCTTGGAGGAAAGGTGGGATATAATAATAAAAGTAATTAATAATATGACCCCTTTTGGCTTATGGCATCAAACCGTGGGGGTGTCAATATGTGGCACAGTGGTTGTGGTGGCGGCAATTCTGGCCTCTTTTAATGGGGTGGGAAATTATGCTGTTTTTCCAGAGTGCCATTAATTTACCGCCGCCTTTCAAAAGAGGACTGGAGGATTCCTGGAGGACAAGGCTATCAAAGGCTGCTTGTGGCTCTGCCCAGCCACTGCAGTTGGAGGTAGCTTCTGAATACCAGTTGCTGGAAGCCACAGGAGAGGAATATTGTGCTGGCATCCTGCTTGCAGGAGCTCGAAAAAGTCTCTGTCAGACACCTTTAGGGAGCAGATCACTACTAAGTCTTGTGTCTGAATTTGCTGGTGTCAGAAAGCTTTCTGTTCTGTCGACCTATTTCCCTCCCTCTTCCCTCTCCTCCTCAGCAAATCCTTTTTCTATGGACCCCGTGAAACTGTTGGAATAAGAGACATGACTTTGCATGGGGCAAATCTGGAGCGCAATAACATTTTGCTTTAGAAGCTCTTGTTCTTAAGAACGTAAGAAGAGCCTACTGGACCAGGTCGATGAGCCATGCAGTCCAGCACCCTGTTCTCAGAGTGACCAGCCAGATGCTTCTTATGGGATGCCAGCAAGCAGGGGCCAAGCACAGAGCGCTCTCTCCTCCTGTGGTTTCCAGCGACTGATATTCAGAAGTGTTGCTGCCTCCAAGACATGGCCATCCTGGCTAGTAGCTTTGTCCTCCATGAGGTTGTCTAATCCTCTTAAAGCCATCCCGGTTGGTGGCCATCACAGCCTCCTGTGGGAGGGAGTTCCCTAGTTTAACTCTGCAGTGTGTGAAGACATACTTTCTTCTGTCTGTCCTGGATCTTCCGACATTAGCTTCATTAGAAGCCCACAAGTTCAAATATTTATGAGAGAAGAAGCAAAACTTTTCTCTATCCACTTGCATAATTTTATAAACTTATACCGAGTCATCTCTTACTTGCCTTTTCTCTAAACTAACAAATCACAAATGATGCAACCTATCATTTCCCTTTTCTCCACTGCCCTTTCTGGAGTCAGAAAGGAATTTTCACTTGTGCCAGGTTAGCCAGAGCAGCCTCTGCCAACCTGGTGCCCTGCAGATGGTATCTATCTCAACACCCATACGTATCTAGAAGGCAGGTCTAACACATCCTACCCAACTTAAAGAGACCACAAATAGTCCTCTGGGTTCAAGTGTCCTTGGAAGATGGAGGGGAGAGGAGTGCTGATGGCAAGTGTGTCTGTTTTTGGTTCAGAAAAGGGGGAGTTCCTGGCCTTGGATCTCGGGGGCACAAACTTCCGGGTGCTGCTTGTGCGTGTGCGGAATGGGATGCGGCGAAGTGTGGAGATGCACAACAAGATCTATTCGATCCCTCAGGACATCATGCAGGGGACAGGAGATGAGGTGAGCAAATCAGTGCAACACTGACAGGGATCAAAATGGGGGCTTTGACTTCTGAGAGGGTCAGAGAAAACTGTAGCTGAGCAGGAGAGCTCTTGGTTTGCATGCAGAAGGTCCCCGTCAACCACAAGATCTTGTTCCACATGGCTGGGAACACTCATGGCAGTCAGAAGAGATGGTGCAATGATAAATGTCCAATCTGGTAGACCAGGGATGGGGATCCTTTTCTGGCCAAAGTGCTGCCTTCAGGGCCTGTTATATCAGAACTCCTTTTTGCAGAGTCCCTTTTCTTCAGATAGTAAAGGCCCTGAGTGGTGTTTTTACAGACAACCCTAACCATTCAAGCTCAGTGCCTGCAATCTATGTGTCATTATTTACTTGAGACATTATTTGTTACATTGGATTTGCACTGTGACAAAGGCTGGGTCCCTTAGGCTGGGTCCACTTTCCCTGGAACGTCTCTCTTCACCAAGAAAAAAAGACATTTCTGCCTGAAGTGTTTCCTTGAGCACTTTGGGCAATGAACCTTATTCTAAGCCCTTGTTGCAATGGGGTTGTGCGGGCCGAATTAACTATGACATAAAATATGGTTTATTCAGAGAAGGGCCTCAGCCACACCCTGGAGCCTGTGCAGCGATGGAGTGCAGCGATGTGCATGCACTCCATGGAGACCGAGGCCATCCTAGCCTTTGCAAACATGGTGTCCTCCAGATGTTTTGGACTACAAGTTCCATCAGACAGCACAACTAATGGGAGTCGTAGTCCAAAAGCACCTGGAGGGCATCAGGTTGCTGGAGACTGGCTTATCCTGTTCCCTCTGCTGACCTCCCTCAAGAGCCCCCCACTGCCCTGTCCAGAATGCAGCCCTTATCCCATGATGAGGAAGTTAGTGGCTGCATTCCCAAGATTGCTTTAAATGATGTTGGTAGTTTGCAGAAGAACTTTAAATGCAAGATGGCTTCAAATGATGATGGTAGTTTGGTCCAAGATAGAGAGCAGCTCAGTCCTGCTCACTTTGTGATGCCAGCAAGACCCACCTGAGCTGCTCAGCTGCTCTGAGCCGTCTTCTCCCGACTCCATTTTGCACTTCTGCCTTTCAGCTCTTTGATCACATTGTCCACTGCATTGCTGACTTCTTGGAGTACATGGGGATGAAAGGCGTGTCGCTGCCTCTCGGATTCACCTTCTCTTTCCCTTGTCACCAGAACAGCCTGGATGAGGTGAGCTTCGTTTGTCTTCTCCCTCCACCTTAAGTCATTCCTGCAAAAAGGACAAGACGATGTGTTTTACAACAAAGCTGGCTTGTTAGGCTAAGTGGAGCTATCAAATGCAATCTCTGGCAGAGATTTGGGGGAAAGGAAACTAAATGCTGGCAAAGTTTTCCTGCTAGCACACACCACGCTAAATCAGCCTTCCTCAATCTGGTGCCTTCCAGATGTTTTGCACTATTGTCACATTGGTCCCTGCATTGTACAGGCTTGGGTTGATGGAAGCTGTAATCCAATCAGGAGGGCACCAAGATGACCCTAGGATACAGTTCTTGAATTGCATCCTTTTGCTTCACTGTACCCTTGACAATTTTGTGTTTGCATAACTTCTTTCTTCTCCTTCTTCTTCCTCCTCCTCTTCCTCCTCTTCTTCTTGTCTTAAGGCAATTCTCCTGAAATGGACCAAAGGTTTCAATGCTTCTGGTTGTGAAGGGGAAGATGTGGTTAGCCTTCTGAAGGAGGCCATTCACCGGAGAGAGGTGCGTTTCTGTCAGACAAGTGTGACAAAATATGTAACTTGTGCCTCAGATCAGCCTCCATACCTGAGGATGGGGAAGCAGCCAATGTAACACTGGTTTTAAAAAGAGATCCTGGAAGTATCGGGCTGGTTAGCTTAACACCTGCCCTGGGAAAACTGGTGGAAAGTATTGATAAAATAACCAGGCATATAGAAGAACAAGCCCTACAGAAGCAGAGCCAGCATGGCTTCTGCAAAGGCAAGGCCTGTCTCACAAACCTATCAGAGACCCTAAAAATCTAATAAAATAATTTATTGGTTGTGATCAGAGGAGTACTGACCCAACAAGCAGGGACTGTGCCGTTGGAATGGCCTCTGCATGCCTAGTTTATTTTGTGTACTTGATCCTTGTTTTTGTGTTGGTGGACGTCACCCGCCCCCTTCCCCCCCCGCTGAATTTTAGAAAGATTCTGGCTTTCATTCAGCACCTGAGGCCAAACCTTTGCTCCCTCTTTCTCAGGAGTTTGACCTGGATGTGGTGGCCGTGGTGAATGACACAGTGGGCACCATGATGGCCTGTGCGTACGAAGACCCCTTTTGTGAAGTTGGGCTCATTGTTGGTAAGGTTTCGTTTATTCATTTATTTAATGAAATGTATAAGTATGCATGGGACACGGGTGGCGCTGTGGGTAAAAGCCTCAGCGCCTAGGGCTTGCCGATCGAAAGGTCGGCGGTTCGAATCCCCACGGCAGGGTGCGCTCCTGTTGTTCGGTCCCAGCGCCTGCCAACCTAGCAGTTCGAAAGCACCTCCGGGTGCAAGTAGATAAATAGGGACCGCTTACTAGCGGGAAGGTAAACGGCGTTTCCGTGTGCTGCGCTGGCTCGCCAGATGCAGCTTGTCACGCTGGCCACGTGACCCAGAAGTGTCTGCAGACAGCGCTGGCCCCTGGCCTCTTAAGTGAGATGAGCGCACAACCCTAGAGTCTGTCAAGACTGGCCCGTACGGGCAGGGGTACCTTTACCTTTACCTTTACCTATAAGTATGCATAAGAAATGTATAAGAAACACACAAACACGAATGTGTGTGCATGTGTGTTCACATGTGTGGTAGCCAGACCTGCTTTTGGCAACACCCACAGCTGTCTTGTGAGCACCATGCAGCTGGCAGAGGGTGAATGCAGCCCTCAGGCCCCAGAAGTTTGGCTGTCGCTGCTCTGGTCCTTGTTTAGTACCCTGTCCGCTTGCAACAGGGTGTGTCCCCCCGTCCGTCCCCCGTGTGTGATGCTGACCTGTGTTGTGGCTTCCCAGGCACAGGCAGCAACGCCTGCTACATGGAAGAGATGAAGAACGTGGAGCTGGTGGACGGGGACGAGGGCCGGATGTGCATTAACATGGAGTGGGGGGCCTTTGGCGACAGTGGCTGCTTGGATGACTTCCGTACGGAGTTTGACGCCGCCGTGGATGAAAACTCTCTCAATCCTGGGAAGCAAAGGTGGGTGGGAGGTTTCCCCTCCTTCTCCTATGTGTCTAATACATACCAGCCTCCCATCAAGGACTCTCTGTAGGGGATGTTTCAGGTTTGCTAAAGTCCTTGTTGGCTAAGCTCCTCCCGATGTTCTTATGGAGGGAGGGTATCTTGCCTCTCCATGCTGATCATGTTTACCTCTAAACTGAATTTCCCTCGCAGCAAAAATTAAAAATGAAATAAAAACCCCATTCCCTTTACTGTCTTAGGTTCGAGAAAATGATCAGCGGGATGTACTTGGGTGAAATTGTCCGAAACATCCTGATCGATTTCACCAAGCGGGGCCTGTTGTTTCGTGGGCGGATCTCCGAGCGGCTGAAGACCAGGGGAATCTTTGAGACCAAGTTCTTGTCTCAGATTGAGAGGTAGGTTGGGGGCAAAATGGCGGCGGGGGGGGCAACCTAAAGGCAAGAGCGGTTTGGAAGTAGAGCCAGTTGCCTCTCCCACCCTCTGGAGGTATTTAAGCAGAGGACGGACAGGCTGTCTGCTGGGGTTGTGGCCATTGGGGCTAGAGGACCTCCTGCAAACCCTTTGTCCCCTGAGGCCACATTCACACGATACGTGTAAAGTGCTGTGATACCACTTTAAACCGTTACGGCTTCCCCAAAAGAGCTTGGGGAGCTGCTGCTTGTTACGGTGGGTGAGAGTTGTGAGGGGGCCCCTATTCCCCTCCCCCAAGTTACAATTCCTGGAGTGGTTTAACAACCAGTCCCTCTTCCCAAGGAACTCTGAGAATTGTGGTTCTGGGAGGAGAATAGGGGCCTCTTAGCACTTATCTGTGGGTGACGCGGGTGGCGCTGTGGGTAAAACCTCAGTGCCTAGGACTTGCTGATCGTATGGTCGGCGGTTCGAATCCCCGCGACAGGGTGAGCTCCCGTCGTTCGGTCCCAGCTCCTGCCCACCTAGCAGTTCGAAAGCACTCTTAAGTGCAAGTAGATAAATAGGGACCGCTTTCTAGCGGGAAGGTAACCGGCATTTCCGTGTGCTGCGCTGGTGCTGGCCCACCAGCTGCAGCTTCGTCACGCTGGCCACGTGACCCGGAAGTGTCTTCGGACGGCGCTGGCTCACGGCCTCTAGAGCGAGATGAGCACGCAACCCTAGAGTCGGACACAACTGGCCCGTACGGGCAGGGGTACCTTTACCTTTACTAGCACTTATCTGTACCCTTAAGAAACTACAGTGTCCAGAATTCTTTGTGGGAGGTTGTGACTGGTTAAAGTGGTATCATAGCACTTTAAATGTATTGTGTAAATGTGGTCTGAGTCTTGTAGGAACTTTTCTGTGGAAGAGATTCCTTATGAGTGACTCCCTGTCTTTTGGGTGCTGGAGATCAGCACTGGCCAAAGTGTGGGTGGGAATGACAAGACTCTGCAGGGCAAGGCGGAAGAGGAAGCAGTGTGTGAGATGATCCTTTGGGGAGCCTGCCGGGGCCATTGTAGAGCTGCCCAGTCGGGGCTGCATGGCTTGTTGGCGTAGCCTGAGAATCAAACATTGCACTGTACCATTACCAGCATTCATGTCTGAACAAAGACATTGGATTCTTATCTCATTATACATGACAAAGCCATTTTTCACCTTCTCACCCCTTGCTTTTCCCTGTAAGACCTATTGCAGTCGTTAAGAGTCGTCAACAGGCTCATCACAGCTATCTGCCAATCACCCATTCCCACCACCCTTCTGAGTAATACCCCTCCCCACCTTCTCACTATATAGAAGGATCTGGCAACTTCTGTTTCAGTGTATCTGAAGAAGTGTGCATGCACACGAAAGCTCATACCAAGAACTAACTTAGTTGGTCTTTAAGGTGCTACTGGAAGGAATTTTTTTTGTTTCAGCATTCATGTGTTTGATTATATTTATTTCACAAGATTTATGCATACTTGATTGTTAAAAACCCACACCTCCAAACAGTTTGTGAAAAAGATAAAACAGCAAAATTATCAAGGAGAAAAATGAACAGAAATAAATTTAAACTTTTAAAAAGTTGAAATCAGATTAAAACTTTCTGAACATCCAGGCAGGTTTGTCCAAACACAAAGGTTTTTAGCAGACACCTGCCTGATGTCCACAGGCAGGGAGTTCCAAAGTGTTGGTAAGAGACCGAGTCCTTACAAATGCAGAATGAGAATTTTGAAGCACCTGAAGTGGTCAGGAGGGCATACGTAGGCTCAGGTTATCTTGCCGATAAACAGATCCCAAGTTGCCAAGGACTTTGTATACTAATAATAACACCTTGAACTTGGCATGGGAACAAGTCAGCATTAAGGGCAGATCTCTGAGCACAGGTGTTCTGCGCAGACAGGGTCTCCCTCCTGCCAGCATTGTGTTGCATCATCTGCACTGACTGCAACTTTCCCACCTATGTGGCTCTCGGTGTGAGATTTGCTGCCACCTTGTGGCTAGTGAAACCTACTGCATAGCATTCTCTAACGGCACCCGAATTCCAGTGGTATCTCCTTTGGGCACAACTGGGCAAGACCTTGACCCCGTGGCCAAAGCCGTCTTCCCACAAACATAGCAAAGGGAAAATATGTGATAGGATGTTACAGATAGGTAGCCGTGTTGGTTTGCCATAGCAAAACAAAAAAAATCCTTCCCAGTAGGCACCTTAAAGACGAACTAAGTTAGTTCTTGGGTATGAGGCTTTCGTGTGCATGCCACACTTCTTCAGATACACTGAAACAGAAGTGCCAGATCGCTTTCTATATAAGTGAGAAGGTGGGGGGGGTATACTCAGAAGGGGTGGGAATGGGTTGATTAAAATAATAATAAACGGACATAAATCTGACATCAAGAATCACAAGACAGAGAAACCAGTAGGAGAACACTTCAATCTCCCAGGACATTCTATACAAGATCTCAAAGTAGCTGTTTTACTACAAAGGAATTTCAGAAATAGACTGGAAAGAGAAGCTGCTGAATTGCAACTCATTACCAAACTTAAAACCATGGAGAGACCTGGTCTGAACAAAGACATTGGATTCTTATCTCATTATACATGACAAAGCCATTTTTCACCTTCTCACCCCTTGCTTTTCCCTGTAAGACCTATTGCAGTCGTTAAGAGTCGTCAACAGGCTCATCACAGCTATCTGCCAATCACCCATTCCCACCACCCTTCTGAGTAATACCCCTCCCCACCTTCTCACTATATAGAAGGATCTGGCAACTTCTGTTTCAGTGTATCTGAAGAAGTGTGCATGCACACGAAAGCTCATACCAAGAACTAACTTAGTTGGTCTTTAAGGTGCTACTGGAAGGAATTTTTTTTGTTGTGATAGGATGTCTTTGTGATGTTTTCTCCCGATTAGCAGCAAGGCTGAAAAAGAGCCAGGGTGATACAGTGGGACTAGGAATGTTGGACGAGGGACTGGGAGACCAGAGTTGTTGTGGTGATTAAGTGAAGAGGGGGCGAACCCTGTACGCCACCCTGAGCTCCTTGGAGAAAAAGGAATAAGTGTGAATGCAGTGGCACTGCAAAGCATAGTGATATCACCACAGAGCCCACTTTTCTGAAGGGGTGTGATGGGCAGAACTGGACTCCCATGCTCAGCATTGCAGGGTCTGTTGCTGCGTCTCACTAAATATTTGAAATATTTGAATGAGGGGCTAGCAGGATTCTGCATGGTGTATTCCTTCGGAAGCAACTCTCCAGGAGTCTGCAAGTTTTGGCCAACCAAAGTGCAAGTGCAAGTTCTTCCTGGCCGTACCTCCAAAATGCAGGCAGGGTCTGGGACAGCCCCCAACTCTTAAGCATGGAGGGGGACCCTGCATGCTCCACCTCTAGTCTTGGGTGGTCCAGGAAGAAAAGGCTCTGTTTTTACCTGGTTCAGTGCTTCTGCACAGCGCCTCCTAGCTTCAGGTGCCTGGAACTGTGGTGCCCCTTCCTGCTCTACAGCTGGGGCAACTGGACCGCCTTCTGTCCATCCTGGCGAAGCTGTCAAGAAGCGCCTGCCTCTGCCCCTCCCAACTTTCTCTCTCTCTCTTGACCCCTCCAGCGACCGCCTCGCCCTCCTCCAGGTCCGCTCCATCCTCCAGCATCTTGGACTAGAGAGCACCTGTGATGACAGCATCATTGTGAAAGAAGTGTGCACAGTGATTGCCCGGCGTGCCGCCCAGCTGTGTGGGGCAGGGATGGCTGCGGTGGTGGACAAGATCCGAGAGAACCGTGGGCTAGACTCCCTGAAAATCACTGTTGGCGTGGATGGGACCCTGTACAAGCTCCATCCTCAGTAAGTCTCTCATCTTTCAGCAAGACCTTGCCTCTGGGAGGGCTGGAGGGAGAGCGTTGGACCTGCAGTGTTGCTGCTTCTGCACAGAATTGGGAGGGGCGCGCGCGCATATGTGTGAATCAGGCTCTCTCTGGTTCTAGGACTTTAACCCATTCACCCAGAGTTGAGTGTATGCTTTTTGCAATAATATTCCTGCACCAAAGTCACCCCATCCTGAGACCTGATTCTGTGCAAAGTTTTGGGCAAACGTGCTCTGAGCTCCTGGCATCTCCTGATCCCAGCGTGGCCTTGTTTGGCCCCCTGCTTTTGTTTGCAAGCAGACCTGCAGCAAAAATAACGTCCAAACTCTTGTATGATTTCAACCAGCCTTCCTTCCTCTGTGTACAGTTGAAATTGTGCAAGTTAAATGTGCGTAAGATGTGGTCTAACTGTACAGTGTTTTGCATGAAATTAAGTGTGGGGCGGGGGCGGGGGGAGGAGATCAAAACTCCTTTACTTCCCATGTCTGCAAATACTTAAGATTAGAACTGATGGTACTTTTATTATTAATGGTAGGGCAAAGAAAATTAAGCCATAAGCAGCTTAAAATATAAAAGGGAGGGAGGAATGGGTGGGGTGACCAGGATAAGAGAGGAGCGAGGTGCTTAGCTATAAGCTCTGCCTGCAATGGGGTGTCTGTCTGGCTGGTCAGACAAATTCATAGAGAAGAGAGCTATTGGTAGCTCCCAGCAGCATTGGCTATACTCTGCCTCCATGAGATGCCAATTGAATTAAATATTGGGGGGGGGCAGGTAAGCCCCACCCTGCATAGTTGATCACAAGACACGGCACACACAAGCCATTTGAATGGCAATGCCCATCAGCTTTTTTTGGGGGGGTGGCCCCCTCAAATATTTTATCGGGGGGGGGGGGAGGAACCTTGTTCCCTAGGGCTGACTCCTATGCCAGAGACAGCACTGCCTCTGAATGCCAGATGCTGGAAGCCACAGGAGGGGAGAAGGAGGCTCTTGTGATCGAATACTGTTTGTGGGTATCTTCTTGGCCACTGTGAGAAAAACAAACCCCTGTGTTGCAGTGAGAACCAATCACAGAAATAAAGACACAACACTTAGGCTAATAACTGTTAGAGCATATACAATAGAATAATGATATCATTCAAAAAGTAGAAATAAATCTATTAGAGTTCATATATGCAATGTAACAGACTAGTGGCGCAGAACGTTGAGCCATGCATTCAAGATAGGTGTCAAAGGTCAGTCTCACAATGGTTATTCAAAGGTTTCAACAGAAGACGTCTCAAAAGTCTAAAAAGTAAAGTTTTCTCAATAGTTTTTCAAAAGTTTCAACGGACATTTTCTCAGCACCTATCTTGAACACATGGCTTGACATTCTGCGCTGCTAGTCGGTTGCACTGCAAATACGAGCTCTAATAGATTTATTTCTACTTTTTTGAATGATATCATTATTCTATTATATATGCTCTAACACGTTATTAGCCTACGTGTTGTGTCTTTATTTCTGTGACTGGCCACTGTGAGAGCAGGATCCAGAAGAGCTCTCCTCCTGGCCCCATCTTAATCTACTCTCCCTTTTCCCGGCAGCTTCTCTACCGTCATGCGCGAAACCGTGAAGCAGCTCTCTCCTAAGTGCGAGGTGACCTTCCTCCAGTCGGAAGATGGCAGCGGCAAGGGCGCAGCACTCATCACTGCTGTGGCGTGCAGGATCCGGGAGGCGGGCCAGCACTAGGCCCCCAGGTCAGGAGAGCTGGGCCCAGCGGATCCCCAGCTGCGCCTGCCCCTCACTCCGCTCGAGCCCTTGATCGCCGCTGGCCGGATCCTCGCTTTACTTCTTCTCCAAAGATGCCACTCCTGTGACCCAAGGCCCTACACTCCCCATGCAAAAAGTGTCCCCTTTGCCCCTCTGCATGCCATACGAGCACATATCGAGTCAAGCATCCCGTGGTGTCTGCGTGTCTCCCTCACACCACTGCTGGTTCAAACCCAAAACCTCTCTCTTATCTTGCGTACACAGTGTTGGTGTTAGATCTCACCTGTTCACCTCCCCACAACCTGTGTCTTCCGTAAAAAAAGGTGGGCAATCGGGACACCCACGTTGCCACTTTGCAACCTGTGGTCTCTGTCTGTGTCTGTTTCCAAACTGCAGGATCAGTCCTAGCAGAAGAATACAAAAGAAGGGTAAACCTGGCTTGAATATTGGGCTTGAAGGATCAAGGTGTTGCTGTTTCCATGAAAGCCACGGCATCTCATTGTTATTTGTAGTGATGTTATTTTTAAAAGCACAGGGTATACCCATTTCAAGAGTAGAATGTCCGTGGAAGGGTGCTGAGTCCGGGGAACGTGGGAGCATTCTGCTGTCAAAAACGCCTGCTTGCATTGCATTTCAAGGTGAAGACGCAAGCATGTGCCTGGGAATGTTTCAGGGCTCCTGGGATGGTCCTGTCTTCCAGCCTGCTCTTCCTCCATTAGCACTGCAGCTTGGTGGATAGCGTGTGTGGAGGGGCTTGCCTGCACATCTGGGGGTTTGGTGACTGGGATTGCATTGTCCCTGCTTTCTGCTGCTACTCCTGTAAATAGAGCAGTCGCCAAACAGAAGCTTGTTTACCCCCCTCCCTCAAAAGTTTTGCATTGCACTATCTTTTTACCTGGGTTGGGGAATAACTTATTATATTTTGTCTGTGAAAATAGCACCTTCACCTTACCTCACAACTGGCTCGACACTTTGGAACAAATGTCTTGCGAGCTGTACCTCTCTTTCTGTATATAGTTGGGGGCTGGGGGGGGGTTCTTGCGTGAATAATAGTGTTGGCAGGAGTGCAGGGCTGAAGAGCATTTCGGGGGTTCTGGCAAGCAAAAACGTTTCCGAGGGTGGGGTTGGTGGGTGGAGGGGTGGACAGGAGCAGTGGATCAAGACAGGGAGGAAAAAAGGAGGCTTGAGACAGTTCAGGGCTGATCAGAGGAATAGGAAAATGTGAAGCCTATCCGTTAGCAGAAGGCGAAAACTGGCCACGTTCTTATCACCACTACTGGAACTTCAATCTCTCTCTTTCTCTTTTGGGCTCAGTCCTGCAAACACGTTTTCTGGGGCCTCTGTTCCTTTCAGAGGCGCATGGGTTTGTTGCAATGAATCGAGGCTGTGTAGCTGTGGTGCAAACTTGGGCTGTCTCTTTCACCTGCTACTCGGTTAGCGTTGTTGGAGCAGGATAAGGGCTTAACCTGTTTGGGAATGGCAATGTTCTGCATCTCTTAAGCATGCCATAAATCCACTAGTGGCCAAGTTTAGCCCTGAGGCCACGAGAGATACAGTGGGAAATGAATGGTTGAATGTAGAATGTGCTCCAAACTTCTCTTTTTTGGATTCTCATTTTAACTGGCAAAAGCCATCACTGAGCCCTTCTTATTGACTTCCAGTTGCTCACCAGTTTGGTTGTTACTGAAAGGAGGAAATAGATGGTTTGCTAGTGGGAAATTGCTACTCTGGGAGAAACCTCCAAGCAGTGTGTTTGTACTACAATAAAGAAAAGAATATTTTTGGTATCTATTTAATGCAAGACGATGCCTGCCTGCGATGTACACAAGAAATCCTTGGTGAGGCTGTGAGTTTGAAGATAGATTTCCCCCCTCTATTTTTTTTATCTTTATATCTGTATCTATATATTTATATGGTTTGGAATAACTAGTACCAAAAGAGCATCTCCACTGGTGAGATCCTGAGACAGATGAAAAGCACATTACTTTCTCCTCTTTTTTTTAAATGTTAAATGTTTGCATATTTTATAAAAGTTTCAAAGTTGCAATGAAGATGAAAATTCTGAAAAATAACCTCTGGGTAGAAATGGCAGGCTGGGAATCTGAGGAATGTCCCAACATCAAGATAAATCAAGAGTATTTTTGTAATAAAAGAAAAAGAATTGACCAATGCAATACCAAACAGCTTTACGTAACAGTTTTACTGGAAATAGTTATCCCATCCTGCTGAAAGAATTGAAACGCAAGTCTTTGATCTATTGTACAATGGAGAAATTGATCATAATGTATATTTTTTTAACTTGAATGTTACGTGGTTGCTGGATTGTACCTCCTCTGGGGAAAAAAATGTATTTCACTAGTAGTGAACTTTCTTTGGTGAACAGCAGATTTTTATTTGATGGTGATTGTTTTATGAAAAGGGAAAGCAGTAGCAATAAAATTATGTTTTGTGTGACAATTTGGGTCCAGACTCTCTGCCACAGTTCCATGAGGTGAAACGCAAAGGTCCCTAAATCACTTGGCCGGATTTTGAGAACATAAAAACAATCTTGCCGCTTCAGAGCAGTAGTGGTTCCACCTGGCCCAGTATCCTGTTCCCAACAGTGGTCAGCCTCTGGGAAGCCCACAGTAGCTGCACTCAGGAGGTCCTGGCTAGCTCTTAAGACTAGTAGCCATCAATAGGCTTTTCTGTTGATTTGGCCTAATTTTCCTTAGCTGTGCAAAGGGTCTCCTGCACTCTGCACCTACCAGCTGTTTGGCTCTACCATGAGAGTTTCAGCAAGGAGCAGAATCTCCTTCAAGGCAGCCTCTGGAGAGTTTTTCCAGCAGGCTGGTGGAAGCTGCTATATAGACTATTTTTAATTCAGAGACAGCTCTTCTGGGGGCTGTGACAGTCCCATCCCTATTCTGTATCAGCCAGTAGAGCAAAAACTCCAAAAAAATAAATAAAATAAGGGCAGTGATTGGTACAGAAAACTAGAAATGTTGCTGCGGGAAAGTGAATTGGAAAAAAGCTCAAAAATACTTCCCCTTTCAGAATTATTGGTGAAATGATGTGAATTGCAATCTAGCAATGTTCATTCTGAAATCTGAATCTGTTCTGTTTTGGTAGGATGATGCTGAAGTCTTGAACATTATTTGTAAGGTAAATAATAGCCATTTTTGGTTGGAGTCATAGGATTGTAGAGTTGGAAGGGACTTGCCCAACCCCCTGAAATGCAGGAATCGCAGCAAAAGAATCCCCAACAGATGGTCATCTGACCTCTGTTTGAAAACCTCCAGGGATGGGGACACTACCACCTTAGTATTGACGGCATCTGGTTTTAATTCTTTTCCCACCCTCAACTTAAGAAAAATGCAGGTTAGTGTTTGGAGGAATCTAATGAATTGGCTATACAGTGGTACCTCGGGTTACGAACTTAATTCATTCTGGAGGTCCGTTCTTAACCTGAGGCGCGCTTTCACTAATGGGGCCTCCTGCTGCCGCCGCCACGCGATTTCCGTTCTCTTCCTGGGGCAAAGTTCTCAACCCGAGGTACTACTTCCGGGTTAGTGGAGTTTGTAACTCGGGGTGTTTGTAACCTGAAGCGTTTGTAACCTGAGGTACCACTGTATTTGCATCTTACTAGTTGCATATAATAGACATTAAACTTTTCAGATTTAGAAACATAACCAATTTTGTTATTTTACGATGACCTATGGCACTAATGGTCAGGGGTCCTTTTACCTTTACCTTTATGCTAGTGTTGTGTATGTTAATTCCACCCGCGCCAGAAATGTCTGCAAATGCTAACTAATGAATTGTCACTGGTAACAGCCAGAGTCATTGAAATGTGGGAGGACAACTTCCTTGGTGACACCACATACACCCTAGGCCTCTCTTCTCCCACATGCTGAGTTAGCTGTTCAGCCTGGGTACCACTTCTGATTTCAGGGGATGGATTATTGCATGATGTGATGTCCCCTATGTAGAAGATTCCTACGCACAGGGAACAAGTATCTCAATGGCTAAGCCGTTGTTTCCCAACTGTGGGTCATGGTTTTAAGAAGTAAACTCAAAATTATAACTTGTAATCCCTAACTGGAATGTTGAATACCTCTTGCAGCTTGGGTCTTTAGTGTATTATAAAGCCTGCTATTCCCCTCAGGTCCCCTGGGGGACGCAGGTGGCGCTGTGGGTAAAAGTCTCAGCGCCTAGGGCTTGCTGATCGGGTCAGCGGTTCGAATCCCCGCAGCGGGGTGTGCTTCCGTTTTTCCGTCCCAGCGCCTGCTAACCTAGCAGTTCGAAAGCACCCCCGGGTGCAAGTAGATAAATAGGGACAGCTTACTAGCGGGAAGGTAAACGGCGTTTCCGTGTGCGGCTCTGGCTCGCCAGAGCAGTGATGTCACGCTGGCCACGTGACCCGGAAGTGTCTCCGGACAGCGCTGGCCCCCGGCCTCTTAAGTGAGATGAGCGCACAACCCTAGAGTCTGTCAAGCCTGGCCCCTACGGGCAGGGGTACCTTTACCTTTACCTTTATTCCCCTCACAGTGCTACGATTTCCAGAGTTCTCTGGGAAGGAGGGTTGTTAAACCACTCTGACTCTCCCAACAACTCTCAGAACCCTTGACAAATGACACACTTATGTAACCCGCATGTTTTTGGAATAACTTTTTATAGCTCATGAAGCAATATTCTGCAGCCAGATGCTTGGTGCCCTTGCATTTCCTTAAGCAAAACTGGGAATAACATTCCAAGTGCCACAAATACGTCAACACATTCCACATCAGTAGGTTGAGTAAGCTTTTGCTTGGATGGCTCAGGTAATGGTTATGTAACAGGCAAGCTGACCATTAAAACTCAGGAAGCAGACAAAGACCTACAGTCCAAAATTCATATAACAAAATATGGGTCACCATACCAAGCACATTAGGGCTTCTGGGTTGCTGTACTGAAAGTGATGGAAACCAGGGGGCTAGACTACAGTCCTTCCCCCACCTGCATCTAATTTTCTACATGGAGGTTAAGCACCGGTCCCCAGTTGCAGTCCAGACTTTTGCAGCGCAGTGACAGGTTTCCCTCTCCAGCCCCTCCTTGTGGAAATGTGGCTTGAACTTCTCTGTAGAAATGACATATGAAACAAGATCTTCCAGGAGATTCATTGGCTGCTACACTATGAGCAAGTACAGAGGGGAGAGTACTACTCTTGTGGTCAAATCCTGCTTGTGGGTTTCCAGGAAGAGGCACCTGGTTGGCAGCCATGAGAACAGGATACTGGCCGAGAGGCAGGCTCTTCCTGTGTTCTAATGTTCCATATGGAAACCTGTATTTTCAAAACATCCCAGCCATTTCTGTAGCTGAAAAAGTTTGGCTGCCACAAGGATTAAAGTGTATTCATGGGGAACATTTCTCCTGGGTGTGGCAGTGCATGCCTTCCGGAGTTGAGGAATGCAGCACTGGAAATCCCTGCCCAATTGCAAAAAGACCATTAACCAAGATGGCTACTGAAGGCTCTGAGGAAATGGCCAGTTTGTGACCGAGCTGCAGAAGGGGGTCTGGAGTGGGAGGCCCCGTCACTAACACAGCTGGGAAGCCTCAGGGCCATTTAATCAACGGTCTTGAGGACTGATTCGCACAAACACACATTGCCCGAAGACCCACGCAGCCTGTGAGAACTAGGACTGAGGGGAAGTATCAGAAATGCTTCTTTACGCAGCACGTAGCTGAACTATGGAATTGGCTACCACAAGATGCAACAATGGCCACAGAAGGATAGCTTTAAAGGGGGATTTGATAAATTCATGAATGGAAGGCACCATAAGAACATAAGCAGAGCTTCCAATGGCCCTTCTAGTCCAGCACTCTGTTCTTACAGTGGGCAACCAGATACCTGTGGGAAACCCACAAACACAAGAGCCCTGTCTCCACCTGTGGATTCCAGCAACTGGGATTTGGGATCCACTGTAGAGGCAGATCATAACCGCTGACAGCCCTCTCCTCCATGAATTTGTCTAATCCTCTTTCAAATCCATCTAGGTTGGTGGCTTCCCACCGGAGGGAGTTTCGTAGTTTAAATATGTGCTTCCCAGGTTGGGGAAGGCTGATATTTACTAATAGCAAACCAATTCTAAATTCTGATCCTTATGTAGTCAAACCGCACACCTGTCAGCAGGTTTGGTTTGCAGAAATGCAGCGTTTACAGATGTACCATTTTTTAAAGGGGAAAAAAACCTAAAGTGGGAAAACACAAAAATGTTGCATGAAGACTGAGCATGCTCAGTGGACAAAGCATAGTGACTGACTGTTGGGAAGGGAAATGGAAGATGTTATCCTGAAGGAGGACATGGATTGATGGATGGAACTCTGAACAGGAGTCCTCCACTCTACTCAGAGTTGACCCACCAAAATTATTGCACTCCAAGTTTTGCACATCCATTTATTTCAATGGGACTGCTCTGAGGAGAACTTAGTTGGATAAAACCATAACATTGCACTTGTAATGGCAATGAATAATGGCATGGAAATAGAGTCTAAGGGTCTGTGGGTCCCAGGGGTCAAAGGGCAGCTCAGACCTGCCAACATCAGAGAGAATGCTTTAGCATCTAAGAAGAGCCCCAAGGTCAGAACCTCCCATTCTGCGCAGTCTCTCACTTCCAACACTCCAGCTCAACCAACAGCAGAGCTCTGGTATCAGAAGGCTCCGAAAACAGGATGTTGTGGGCATTCCAGGGGTGATGGCAGAAGCTTGAACCCAGAGCCCATTTGGGGGCATGTTTCTAATGGGGGAGAAAAAATATACTGGTGTCAGTTTGGGGGGAGATGGGGGTCAGTCTGGATGATTCCCTGAGTCCCTTCCAGTTCTTGGAGTCCAGTACCCAGGGAGGGTTAGAATCTAACAGAGGAGGTTGCTGAGCTAGTCCGGTAAGCTTCTGAGTGACCTTAAATGGCCACTTAAGTAATAATAATAATTTATTATTTGTACCCCGCCCATCTGGCTGGGTTTCCCCAGCCACTCTGGGCGACTTCCAACAAAGATTAAAAATACATTAAAAGTGTCCTCATCAGCATCCCAAAAGAATGGGCTAGGTTGCAAGAACTACAACAAATGATGGTGGCCCTTTCTTCCACCTGCTTACCTAGCTGCTAGGTAGGAGAATAGCAGCTAGTGTGTGTGTGAGAGAGAGGTGAGCTTAGAAGCAGGCTGGAAGATGGAGAAACAGAGACCTGCTTGCTCTGTGCTGGATCCAAAGTTGTGACTCATGGAGAGGCAAGATCTGATGGGGTCTTAATGCTGCGAGCCCCTCCATCTTATGTTCAGGTTGTATAGATGTGTAAATAAAACCATATATCCTAAAGACACCACAGTCTCCGCTGACCTTCATTCCAAGGAAACCTGGAACAACTAGATTCTCTCCCACCTAGGAGATTGGGTGGGTGTTAAACTGTGGTCCCTGAACTTCATTCAGTGGCCCATCGTA